TGATATGCTGCGAATTACCCATCGGAAACAGAATTTCTCGAGAGAAAGCGAGATTTATCCCCGGAGGAACTCTGAGCTCTCCACAACCCGCACGAGGAAAAGTACAGCTGACGCTACTTCGCCGGCGACAGGTCCAGCTCACATGAATGGCCAGCGGCTCCCCGTTTCCAAACTCCGCCTGCAGGTCCCTCATCCGCGACATCCACGACAGAATCAATGATCTGGCTGCCGAGGCACACTCCTGTGACGCCCTTCAAGGAGCCGCTGTGGACGTTGCAGTCCAGCTGCCCTTTCTGCATCAGGACCTGGACGTCCAGCCACCGGTGGATGCCGTGCTCTGGCTTCGTGCCGCGAAGCGCCACGGTGACGAAGCTTTGGCCCGCGACCACGAGGCAGTGCGTACCCGGCAACTTCCTGTCCCCATGGCCGATGCACCGCAGGCAGGCTTGGTTTTTACGTTTACGTTTACGTTTTTACTTTTACGTTTTCACGCGTAAAAACGTAAATTTGCAAAAGACCCTATTTTTACGGCTATTTTTACGGTTTTACGGCTCCCTTGGGCCCCAAAATTACGTGATGAAAGTTGCGTACAATGATCAGTCTTCCGCCATATTCAGCACCCGCAACACAGTGTCCACCTCGCCCTTGGCAAGGGCGATGATGGTGTTTGACAAGAACTCGTTTCCTGCCCCTTCCAGGGCGTCTGGCTGCCACTCTCCGGAGTCCGTAAGTCTGTATGTACTGTCCTTATGTACACCGGGCAGTTTTTACGTTGTATTTACGTATTTTTACGCATTTTTACGCATAAAAACGTAAAAGCTGTTTCTGCGCATAAAAATGTAAATACGATCAGTTTTTACGGCGTAAAAACCAAGCCTGACCGCAGGCGCCTGCGGGGCCTTCAAACCCGCCGCTCGGCCTGCCCCTCGACCGTGGGCTGCTTGTCGTAGGCCAGCAACCAGGTCGGCGTGTGTCCCTCCATTGGTGAATTCGGTGGGCCCGCCTGTGCTCACGGGAGTTGCCCGGCCTTCTCGTTCGTTGTGTAGCATTCATTCCGACAGCCGGTCATTCAGCGCATCTCTAAGCTGCACGCCCATCGTCATGGTCCTTGTTCAGTGGATTTCCGGGAGGTGAGCCGTTCAGGCAGCGGGCGCCATGAGCACCCCATGACCTGAACCAATGCCCGTGAGACGTTGCAATGCGATTCCGTTGTCATGTCCCTCCCTGTGGAAGGTTCTCCTGCGATCGCGGTTCCTGAGGGAAGGACCGGACGTCCAATGCTGGAGGCGAAGTAGGTTCTGTGAACTACGCAATCAGTGAACGCGGGTGGAAGGAACTTCCCCCGTCCGGTAATTCACGGATGGCGCCACAGTCACTTGTGCAGCTCATGGACAGACGTCGAAAGTGTGCGAAGCGGATGTTCCTCGCGCATATGCTGGCAAGCCCCGTCAGTGAAGCAATGGAATCTGCGGACACGGATGCATGACGCCACCGCCGTCCATTGATTCGACCCTGCACGTATGGACTGACAGCCGTCACCAGCCCGACTGACTGTTTCTGTTGCATCCTGAGCAGACGCACTTCCAATCTCATTGGCGTCCAACCCACCCCAGCCAAAACAACAAACGCGGCTGTTGCTCCAATGTACTGGCCCCGGCCCCAACAGCCGCAGCTCACCAACCTGCTCTACGAACTGCCATGCACCATATGTGCATCGCGCAGTCTCCGCCTGGACACCGGAGCCACGCCCATTCCCTCTCCAGGCAACCTCTCCCTTCCCCTCGCCCCTGCCCTAACGCGGCAAAGATGCCCCGACGGGGGCCCGACGGCGCCGGGCGAGCCCCCCGCCACAAGCGCAGCCTGACCGATCAGATTCAAGACCCCGCATCCCATGGCGTGCGCGTCCCAAAAAAACGCGCCCTTGCCAATGTCGACGAAGATGATGTCGACGACGTGATGGGGACAGAGGTTGCGGTGCCGGCGGACCTGAGCAATGCCATATTGAGGGAGGCGCGTGCGCAGCGGGATGAGGTAGAGGCGGAAGAGAGGGCGGCCGCGGGCGGGGCGCGGCTGGAGAGCGAGGGGGCGCTGGCCGGCGGCGCGCTGAAGGCGGCACTGGAGGGGTGAGGGGGAATTGTGGCGATCGATTCAGTTGATCGCAGTCGCTGAAGCTTGCGATTTGGTGCTCTGAAGCGCAGGGATTGCGCCCGCAAGGATTGTGCACAGAATCGTGTGGCGCGGATTTGAGCAGTAAGATTGTTAAAAGACAGAATAACGAGGTACTGTCCTACTTTCCTCCACCTTTAGGGATATTTAGCGGGAGCCCCGAGACAAAAGAAGGCGGATGCAAAGGAGAGAGGATCAAGCAGCTTGTCCATTGAGCAGCGGGGGCGTCTTTTTGTTGTTGGCAATTCTGCCAAGTAGGCTGCAATAGATTGGCCGCATTTGGAAACACCATGTCAAGTGGTTCCCTTCCGATGGTGCAATTCAGTTTTGATCAAGTCTGCAAGAACTAAGAGCATTCATCTGCCATGCCTGCCAAACAGCAGCAGCAGCTTACGCCAACCCACATTCGTATTCCAAAAGGATGCGAGTTGGACGAGTGATGGCCATCACTATGAGCTCAAATACTTGCAGGGCACGTCAGTGAAACATCTCACTTTGTGGTGGACGCGACTTGCTTTGAGCACATCCAGCGAGCCCGTTAGGCTGGTGTGGAAGCTGCATTCCGAAATTTACAGTCTCAGCATGTAGACCATATCGCATGAATGTTGGGAAAGCCACATGGCCTGTTACTATGGCAGTGGCAGAGGGGAATTATCAGGGGAATGCTTGGGCAATGCTCCATTGACTTCAGGTGTTGGCTTTGGCAAAATCACACACGGACGTCTGGTAGGCGATGATGGTCAACGTGAACATCCGCAATACAGTATCTCAAACAGGTCATAGTAGCTCACATGTTCAGTAAGGGACATGATACAGAGGTGTATGCACAGTTGCAGGTGTCGTCATTGTTGTTCAGGAAATGTTATGCCTCTGTTCAATCTCCAAGCATGTCCACAGCCTGGAATCTCATCTTGGGTGTGTGCTTGCAGATTTGAGGACGGCGGCGAAGACCCTGATGACGATGATGGTTTTGATGGTGACTTTGCGGACATCGAGGTCGATGCCACAGAGGACGATGAGAGGGCACTGAATGCCTTCCTAGCTCCTGGTCATGAGGACTACCGCCAGGAGACACTTGCAGATGTGATTCTTGCCAAGATAAGGGAGAAGCAGAAAATGCAGGGCATAAGGTACGGCCACCATATGCTTCCTGGAAAGTTTCCTGTGACTAGGAAGGGGGAAGTTTGATGACAAGTTACCATGAATGGGCAAGGGTAGCCCTGCCTGCTTGCATTGGCTGTGCATGTAGATCATGGGGCTGGTTTAATGCCTGGTTTTGGAAGCGCTGCCTGAGGAGCTTGCATTCACTGCATGCACTCTGTTATAGCTCCAAATAGTCCAACACAGCATTGGTTCTAATTGTAACAGATGGCCTTACCGGTACACGATTTTCGAACACCAAAACGATGTTTTTGAGAGTATTTGAATCCTGCTGTGAGTCTACCCAAAGATGTTTATTCTTCCCTTGCAAGGAAACAGCAGTTCAGCCTTCCAAAGTAGAACTCCAGGTGCAAGGTGTGCAGTTCACTGCAGGGCCTCTGCATCATAAACTGTTCCAGAAGCGACACTGCTGTTTCCCTTCTGTTACTACTCTGTGTTGCATTTTTGTATTTTTTTGGCGAAAAGAACAAAAGCTGAGACATGGAGCAGCCCATTTGTCAGTGCCTGCCTTCGACGCGCTCCTCCTTTGCCTGGTGTGCTGTTTATGTTGGTTTTTGCATTTTCCGTTGATATGCTTGCAGAATATCTGTTTGTGTATTTACTTGCATATATTGCTGGAGTTGTAAGCAGTTCCTTTAACTTGTGTACTTGAGCAATGCCTTTGATGAGATTCAGTGTGACTCATGCTACAGCACACCCCAAGATGAAGGCGACCAGCAGATCCCTTCTGGCATTGATGACAAGGTTGTCGAGATGTACACCAAAGTGGGTGAGTTCATGAGCCGCTACAAGAGTGGCAAGGTCCCCAAGGGCTTCAAGATCATTCCGAGCCTGAACAACTGGGAAGATGTGCTGTTTCTGACAAACCCAGAGGGCTGGTCAGCCCATGCAACCCTTGTGGGGACGATCAGCTTCGTTTCAAACCTCAACGAGCAGATGGCACAGCGCTTCCTAAACCTTGTTGTTCTTCCCAAAATCCGAGAGGTGAGTGGGAGCTCTTTGCATTGGTTCATCGTTGATTAAACTTATTTCCCTTAAAGTCACCGGTTCACCACAATCGTTTTTGGTGTCCAGCCTTTGAATTTCTTCTCACAATTGCGCATCTGCTCAGCTATTCCTTGAGGACCCTTCTTGCACCTAGTAGTACACAACATGATGCAGTTTGGGCTGGAAGTTGCATCCATGGTCAAACTACACATTCCCTTCTTCAAGCTGAAACTCAATGTGCTGCTGTTTACGTGAGGTGTGCATGCTGTTACTTGATAGCTGGTGCACCAATGCACAAGAAGGAAATTATTCTGCACTGCATCATCGAACGAGGCGTTCTCTGGAGCACACAGTTTACGATGCTTGCTTATTGTGCTTTCCCTTTGCTCCCTTCCTTGCTGTGTTCGCTGGCTGCCCGCTGCCCGCCAAGTTACTGCTTGTCATCTTCATCAAGTTTCACACGACTCTTGGGCCGTGCACACTAATCAAGTTATGTTGAGTGGCCGAGGCTGGATATACTTTTGCCCACATATTGTTGACTGCCTGACAGTTGCAGTTGCAAGCTAGCATGAGACAGCAACCTGTTGCAATAGACAGGGATCTGCCACTGCAATGAGCCCAGCACATGTCGTGGCATCCCCATGAGCTATGATTGTGGCAATATAGGGCGTTTCCATACGAATCTATACATGGTCTTTCTGCTTGCAGGAATACACCCAACAAGTAGAAATATGCCATATGTACCCCTGAGGAGAAATGCAAAATTCAATGCATTGGTGGTTCCTGTGCATGAATCCTCATGGAGGCAGCATAGTGACACACAATTCACAGCAATGAAGTTCTTCTTGAGCAACAAGGTGATATGAGCCAAGAGACGGAAGAAAGAACACCTGTTCAAGGTAATACAGGAGGCTGTGACAGACCTGAGAAGATTTGTGGCGCATGCTGCAGGACATTCGCACACACAAGCGTCTTCATTTTGCCTTGTGGCAGTCACTGAAGAAGGCGTGCTACAAACCAGGGGCCTTCTATAAAGGCATCATTCTGCCTTTGTGCATGTCAGGTGGGCATTCCTCCTGTTGTTCAGGGCGCGGCACATTTAGTGCACGCCAACATCTTGAACTTAACTGTACATTATTGTGAACATGGATGCCAATGCAAATAGGTCTTTAGCGCAGATTTCAACACAATCGCTTCAGTGTTTTATTTTGCGCTGGAGTCTCTGAAGAAAGCATTTGGGCCTCACTTTGAAGTTGTGAAAGGGGCCCTTCAAACACCTAAATTATGCAAGCACAATTTGATGTACTGACAAAGGGATCGGAGCAGGACTATGCAATTGTTTCAGATTCAGGCTATTATTGGTGAGAGGCTAGCCTGCGGCTGAGTGTGTGTTGGCACAGCACTGATGACGTCTGCACTCACACAGGGACTTGCGACTTGCGGGAGGCAGTGATTTTCACCAGTGTCCTGAAGCGGGCATCGCTGCCAGCCATTCACTCAGCGGCAGCTCTCCTCCGCCTGGCTGACATGCCATACTCAGGCACCACCAGCTTCTTCATAAGAACGCTCATCGATAAGAAGTATGCCCTTCCGTACAAAGTCATCGATGGCCTGGTGCACCACTTCCTCAGTTTCGAGCAGGAGGAGCGCCAGTTGCCAGTGGTCTGGCACCACAGCTTGCTTGCTTTCATCCAAAGGTGGGGGCAAAGGGTTTTGCGGTCACGTTTGTGAACTGCTCTGCATTGCTGCAGTGGCTGTGCAGATGTTGTTTTTTTTGTTTCAGTGCGGACGCGCAGCAAATGTAAATGTTGGATCCGATTTGAGACAGGATCTGCATAACCCGATGCAGCGGATGTGGTTAGTCAGTCCAGTCTATGTGACCAGGGAAATGGATGTGCAATTGTTTCTTTGTCTTCGTTTAGCGCAGCTGCTGCTGTTGTCCATCAGATACAATGGAGACACAACACTGAATGACGTTATGCCTCAACCTGAACTGGTGAGTCTCTCGCATTGCCAACAACTGGATATCCCATCCCTGCGATGGGGCCAACACAGTCCGCATGTTGCAAAGGTAAACATGAACAAGGTGTGCACGGCTGTTTGAGGTTTGTGGGTTGACCTGTAGGTACAAGAATGACATCAAGCAGGAAGACAAGTTTGCATTGAAGCGGCTGATGAAAGCTCAGTGCCACTACAGAGTAACACCAGAGATTCATCGGGAGTTGGACAATGCTGTGCGCAGCAGGGATGGTGCTGTTCGACCAAAGGGCGTGAGACACGAAAGGGGGGTGGATGGGATGGACATTGATGAGAAGGTCACATCCATGGTCCCAGACAATGTCCGAAATATGGCGCCCATGTTGGTGATGGAGGACTACTGATGGTGCATGTGCTCTGTACTGGGTGCATGTGAACTCACACAGAATGAACGAAGCTTTGTTGTAGGCAGAAATGCAGGCTGATTGCTGCAAACTTTATTGTTGATTGACTTGTTGTTTGCATATTAATGGCCACTGTGTGGTCTTGCATTGCAACACACCCAGCATCTGCAGCAGTCTGGAGCCCAGTCTCTGGACACCCAATTGTGTATTTGCTAGGTTTCATTACCATTGCCGCCAAAATTGGCCAGTGGCCTTTAGGCGACCGCTACTCTGTACAGCACTACACACAAGAAGCAACCACATGAGTCCCCTTGAAGCCTTGAAAACATGAGAACCTTGAGAGCCTTGAGAACCACATGAGTTGCCTTGAAGGACCCCTGCTATCTGTTGTTGCATTGGCATCTTTGCATCAATGGCTTGCCTCACAATTCCCCTGGGATTGTGCACAAAACACGGCCATTCAGTTCAATCAAATCAGTGCTATGCCCCTTACAACTGCCAGATCTTTGAGTACCAGAACTGGCACGGAAAATGCCAAGACACCTCCTTGTAGATTCGAACATTTGTCCGAAAGAATGATGTCCTTGCCCCAATTTCGTGGTGGGTGTCGTTCTCGTCCTGATTGAAATCTCACCTTGGTTTTGCCAGGGTACTTTTTTCCAAAACCACCCTACACCAAGGTGGTCGTGGGGGAGACATCTTAGGCACATAATTGCTTTTTTTGTTGCGTGTACGTACCTTGTGGCGAGCAGCGGCCTTGCGCGTTGAATGGGATGGAATGTGCTTGTGCCATTTGCTCATAAGGGTTGATCATGAGGGGAGGGAGGTGGCGAGATGGCAGTCACAAGGGTGGTTTCACAAGTGCAGTGCTGGTACCATTGCCTCGAGTTCCGCTTCGATTTCACTTGTCAGGATGCTGCAAAGCACTGCCCTTGTGGCCATGAGGCGATGCTGGGCGAAGTCAGTGCGGTGGCGGCACCAAGGTGTTGAGCACAGGCTGAATTCTTGGTCACCGGAATTGATAGAGCTGTAATGCACCTCATCAGTCCAGTGTAAAGTACTGGTACTACTTCTGTTACTTGCGTTGGGTGCCGTGCTGGTGCTGCAAAGCGCTTTGAATTTCAGCTCTCTCATCAGCAGGTGCGGAGGCAGTCCTAAATTCCCAGTTTGCCTCTGCCCAATGCTGCCTGAAGGCGCAAGGACAACTAATCGGCATCTATTGACAGATATGGGCACTGCGCCCACACTCGACGGAATCGGCGGCTCAGCATTGGCATACCCTTGCCTTTCTTATGCAACATTCCTATGTAGCACTGCTGTACACGGGCAAAATAGGAAGCTGGCGGCCACCTACTTGCCATGTTATGTCAAAATGAATGCTGCTACTGATGATGGTGATGACTCAGCATTGGACATCAGCTCTTCCGCCCGCTATCCATCCACCCCAGCGGTGGGCACCATTTCGCTGCTTTCCCATCTCTGTCCCCAAGTCAGCCCCAGGAGTCAAGCACGCCTGCACGCGCAGATGTCGACGGGGGACTGCGCCTCTCTGGTCGGCCGCGCCTCGGTCTACGAGGTGGTGTGGGGGAAGATCAAGGGGCACCCCTGGTGGCCGGTAAGCGCCCCTTCCAAGCGAGCAAAGAGCTTGAGAAAATGGGAACCCTCTCATCTTGCTTTTGCTCTCAGATGCGACCGTGGCTAACAACCTGCTGGCTTGCAACTTTGGCGCCGTGCCTTGGGGTACGGCGGACTGGTCAACTGTTCTGTGGGTCCCTGCGAGCCTGGAAATTAGACCCCGTGAAAATTGCCGCAGCGTTCAATCCATCAGTGTGTTTTTGGCATCTGAGGACACAGCTTGAGGCTTCCCGTTTCGCCCGAGAGGGACAGTGCCGATGAGTGGCACGGCATGTGGCAGGTTCCTAAACAATCCTTGAGCGCTGTCGATTTGAACCCATACGTTGTCGCCGAATCCAGGAGTCTCTGAAACGATCGGGTAAACAATCCGTGCGTTCCGAAGCAAACAATTCAATAAACGGCACCCATACACACAACATGCATGTACTGCAGCATTGTCCAATCTTCAAGCTCGTGGTGAGAATGGCTCTAATTAGCGGCTTGAAGATTCTAACAGAACCGTGGTGTGCCTTGTATTAGCGCAGCTTTTCTCTGGCTGAGATTGAGCCCATACGGCCCCTTCTCGACCCGATACGCAAAAATTTTCGCTTTTTGCCCATAGCTGAATTGAACCTGCGGGAACTTAGGGCAAAAATGTAGCCCGAAAACCTGCAATCAATAGACGGGTTGATTGAAGGGCTGGTCGGTTTCTTATCAGGCGCAGGTACAGTACAAGCATTGGCAGATGTGATCAATGCTTATAGAAGCTAAATCCCGCCAAACGAGGTCCAGCGCAAAAGGCACGCAAAAGTCGGAAAGCCCGCTGGAAGCCGATGTGACAAACTGCCGGACCTTGCCTGTGCAGGCGCAGAGGATATCGGAGGCAGTGGCGACGGAGCATGGGCTGCAGCCCGGCAAGGAGCACCGCGGCGCGAACGAAACGACGACATTGATGTTCTTCGGGGGGTCGCAGGTGGCGCGCATCCCCGTCAAGCAGATGTGCAGCTGGAAGGACGGAACCTCCAACGGGCTGCACCTCAGGGCCACCAAGAAGAAAACGTTCAGGGACTCGATAGAGCAGGTGCGAGCGATGCACACTGGCTTTTGGTTACTTGACGGGAATTTTGAAAGGCATCTCTGATGCGCATACATGATGCCCATAAAGACATTTGGCCAACATGTGAGATGGCACCATGGAGAGCTGCAATTTTCCCTTGTGGCTTCGAGAAGAATTGGGCGTCGGTGGCATTCAACGTCACTGGCAGGAGCGCACGAAGAATTTCTCTTCCAGTAATAGCAAGCTTTCCAGAAGCGGTTTGTTTTATGCAGCAAATCGGCGGACAATGCATTTCTATCACTGATCTATCAAGTGAGTTTGAACGTATTTCCTGGGAAGGGGGCCAAGAAGCGAAGAATCCACCTATTGTAATTGCGTTTCGCCGACATGATCTGTTCACGCACGTGTACCCACAACGAATACACCAAAATCACCCATTGACACGAAAACCTTGTCAGCGAAATTCACGATACTCCTTCACCAGCGAAACATGGCACCTCATTCGCAGCAGAGATCTCACGGTCTGTTTCCATTCGGCACCACCCAAAGGGCCAACACATTTCTGCAGGGGAAGACACTATTTTGAATTTCGCACGCTTATCGTCAGTGTAACGTTGAGCTCAGAGACCCTCAATCCTTGTTTCGATTCCAGGATGACTCAGTAACATCACCTAATAATGCCATACAGCTTCAAAATGGCTTTAAGTGAAAAGATAACCGAAATTGTGGCGATTGCAGTGATTTGCAAAATACGATGCCAAAAGCCATTATAGGCGATTGGAGCAGACCCCCCAAAAAAGCGTAAAAATTGATCCACTCTAGGGACTTCCTCCAAGATGGAAAGTGTTGAGGTAGGTTTTGAAGCAAGTCGTGAGCTATCTGCCACTGATCAGTGGCGTTTCTTTTTTGGATCTTCCCACTTGTTTGACTATAATGCGATTACAGAAACTCTTAGCGTCAATGGCTGGACCGCTGTCCCCCTTGACGTCAATTTGACGCTAAGCATACCAAATTCAAAATAGTGTCTTCCCTAAGAAAGGTAGCAGCACTATGTGACCAGCCTCAGACTCTGACATTTGATAATTGCGTGACATGGATAGATTATTGCAATAGCTCCAAAGGCGACCGGCCACATTGATTGCATTTACCATAGATGAACTTCTTCCACCTTCCACTAGAATTGGCGATGACCGGTGTTGTCCGCAGCCAACAATGCCTGCTTCCGAGGGACTGCCGTTTCTTGTTTTCCAGAGGCGAAGTCGCATTAGCTGGCGCTGTCCCTTGCGAATATGAAATTCTGCTGACTGGAAACAAATGCGCCCTGTTGTCAAACTCGGCGCCGAAATGGACCTAGACATCAATTCAGGTGTGGATGAGTGATTTCCTACGGTCGATGCTGCCGCACATTCACACTGAATAGCATTGGGCGTTCGCACCGTCCTAGAGTCCTATATTCACCACCCTTACCAAGCATTGTATTTTCCACCTGCATGATTCGGGGATCATTCGCGTCAAGTTGGCAGCTTACTGGAAGCATTGACTGGCGCCGTGACCTTTGTTGTTGGAGCATCAACTTTAAGGGAGCTTGATTGATTGATTGGAAGCATTGACAGCACGAAGTTCTGCCGCTTGGCTGGGATATACACATCTGCAGTTGCGGGCACCCACTGCAGGATAAACAAACAGCTATGAAATCACTATTAAGCCCGTGCCTCCAAGACCTAGGTGGAATGGACTCTGCTGAGCATTCAAAATAACAACGAAGCCAGCTTCAGAGGGCAATGATTCGGCAGAATTTTGTGTCTTAAAAATCAATTTCGCGCTGTGTCGTAGCGCCCTATTCGTATCGTACAATTGCGCAGGCCGCTCGGTTGACCTCCACATAGCGGTTGTCAGATGTTCACCCAGTATGGAAACGGCAGTTTTCCTTTTGCATTTATGGTCAATCAAAGTTCTTGTACTTTCCTCCCTGTGCAGCGTATACTGACGCCCTGCCCGAAACAGCAACATGGCCCCTACCTCCTGGCAACCACTGCCTGCAATCTGCGCAAAAGACTGAGCAGCGCACGCCACTGTGGCAATGTGTGCAATGGAAATGGCCGAACCCATTGCAGCAGCGATTTCACAAGGGAACCCGGCATTGTGATGTCAATCGAACACGTTGCATATTTTGCAGGTAGTATCCACCAAAACCACTGTTGTTTGGCTGCAAGATGTGGTTCTGATAGGCGGGAAACCTCGTGCGGCTGCATGGTGCTTTCACGGCTTTGCCCAGTTGGAGCGCAATTTGAAAGGCAACTTTGTGACGGTCTGCACCTTGAAGGGGCAATTCTGTTGGTTGATTGAGCATGTCAGGACACCAATTTTGTTATGAACAGTCTGGTGGCTTGAGATACGGAACTGCGCTTTCTCGAGTTCTCAGAAGTGGCACCCGCCCTGCAATGGTGGAATGGATCCGGGAATATTTTGTTTACTATTATCAAGAAGTTAAACTGAGAGAAAAGTTTCCACAGGTGCATTTCCCATGAACCCTCGCATCAACTGTCTTGACATTGCAATAAAAGGCGTGATTTCTGCGGTTGGACAGATTCAGGCAATGACCACAACAGAATGCGCTGTCTCACCGCAGTATCCTGGGAAATTCAACTACTTGAATTCAAATGCAGCTAACACATGTGTATACATAGCATGTACTGCATGCATTTAGGCGGACGCAGTGAAGCCAATGCATCGGATTCGTTGATATAACAAATCGCCACCACTCACTGTCCGGTAATTGCCATTGGATGCAGCCACTTGTCTTTTGCGACAATTGATGTTAGGACCACAAAGAAATGCGATTCAAGCTTCGTGTTTCCTTGCGTTGCTGTGGTAGTGCATCAAGGCGCCTTTGCCTTCATGTAACGCTAAGTGTCGGTTGCTCCTTAGGTTGTGGACTTCCTACGCCAGAACAAAGCTCCAAAGGGATGGTGGTGCGACGCCCCAAAGTCAACTGGTAAGGCCAGCACCAAATGCCAACGCAAGAAACAGGGAAGGGGTTCCAGAGCACCGCGGTGCATCCAAACACGGACAAAAAGAGTGAAAATGACTCCGGCGGCTGCATCAAAAGAACAATATGTCAAAGTTTCAGATCGGGCCGCGCAGGGAACGAGACAAGGAGTGTGCGTACGCGGCATGAACTTGGCAACAGGAAATTCACGTAAAGAGGTCGCAAAAAGAGGATCAGTGCCAGGCAGTGAAGAAGACGAAGATGACATGATGGAGATACTTTATGGGTCAATGCCAGAGGCACAGAGTCAGGTGCACCAATCTTGCGACTGTGATAAGAAGACCTCAAATATGCCGCAAAGAGGGAGTCAAAAGCCGAAAAAACAGGTGGCTGCTGACGAGATCTGGACGCAAAGCCAGTCAGTAGAAGAGTTGGGAGTTGCGATGGGTGCCAACGCGACAGGCCAGGAAATTCAGGAGAAGAAGTTGGCAGCGGACAAAATAGAGATGGCGCCGCCACTTGCTGTGCAGGCCCCACCTATGGAAAAGAATATCCAGAGACCTTGTGGCGCTTTGAATTGTTGCGAAGCTCAGGTAATCCTCCACTCTGAAACATGTGACCTGCCTTGGTCACCAATGTTGAACCAGATTTCCACGTGAGACAGTGCGCCGTTGTGTGCGACGTGGCGTTTGACGCATTGAGGTATACTGGCTGTGGCTGTTCTGCTTCACTAACTTGTAAAGCAGACTGTCTTTGGCTTGCGAGGATAGGCTGTTTTTCTTGTGTTTTTTCGCTGGTTGGATCTGGCTATTGACAATTTTAAGCTTGTGCAGTGTGGCATGTGATCAGATGAAGGGAGGTTCCGGAGTAAAAGCCACCGGAGAAAGCGAGCGACGGAACGAAGGGTGCCAAAGGCAAAATAGTGAGGTATGCCTGCAATGACTCTCAGCATCGTTTCTAAGGTGCAAGGGCAGTGTTTTTCATGTTTGTATGACAAATGTAATCAAAGGATTTGAGCTTGCAATCAGAGAATGCACAGAAACACTCATTGTTACGTTGGTGACGATTGTCAGGAACGAATGCACATGCAATACAAACGCACTTTGGCAGCCATAGTTATCGATAAGATAGAAAAAGCTGCATACCTTGGATAAGCAAATCCGAGATGTGGAGGCCTCAAATCCTGGATATGGAACGCCCTGGGTATGTGAATTTTGTCGATGCCCTCCAAGTTACAATGGCCGCAAATTTCGGTTTCTCAGGCCATCCCTGCCACCAGCGTGGTGCCCGAACAGCAACTCAGAGTGACTGACTTTGAGTCAGTTCGCTTCAAAAATGTTGACATCTGGATCGCGAATCGCCATCGCGATTCCAACCGCAAGCTGCCGCGCAAATTAAATGGTATTCCTTTCCCTCGACATGCATTTCCCTTCGAAAATGCATCTTTCAGCGGTTTTCTTTTCTGGCAAATGATCCTTTGCGCACGAGCCATTAGCCATTGATTCAGCGTCACGAGCCTTGTCTAATTCTGTCCGCTGTGAGAGCGACATCCCTCGCGTTAGCGTCCTTCTCAGCATGCAACATGGGGAGCTGCCGCGTGCCGATATTACCTAAGTTCCACATGGCGCACCATGAAGTCAAGACGTTCACTGCACTTTGAGTAATCAGAATAGAAAAGTTTGGATTATGTTCATGTGCACCTGCAGGAGAAGAGCTTCAAATACAATGGCAACTTGTCCTTGCAAGACGTGATTGAGATCGCCCGGATAATGAGGGACAGGAGTTGCGCAAGGACTTTTGCGGGGACCTGCAAGGAGATCCTGGGAACCTGTTTATCTGTGGGTTGCACGGTGGAACACAAAGACCCAAGGGAGGTCCAAAAAGAGGTGCGTAGTTAATCTTAGTAAGAAAGTATTGGGCTTCAAACGCAATGGCACTATGTATCCTCACGCGTCACAAATCCCGAAGCAATTCCATGGATATGTACAATCAAAGACCAATTCAACACAAAAGTTAGGTTAGAGGTGCACTGTTGAAACTCACAATGCCATAACTTTTCACACTGCTAGGTGTGCATCAGTGTCGGATGGATAACGAAATTTGCTACAAATTTGCTGCCTTTAGCAGCCTGGACAGGTGAGAATGGCCTTGGTGGTTGAACAACCTATTATAAAGTGTCTATTGCAGACACATGGACAATTTGTGCACTGTGTGTTTCTTGCGATGCGCTTTGTGCCCACTGCTTTCAACCTGATCGATCTTGCTATATTTCGCAGATTGACGAGGGCCAACACGACATCCCCGGTGAATAGGGCGTCGAATGCTGTGGACACCAATTGGGATCATGCCATCGAGACGGCCAGTCCACTGCCATTGAACCTATCTGTGCGGAACAGCCGGCAGCGAGGCCACTTGCACTCGACACCGCAGAGTGTCGTGAAGGCAGCCAAGGGCGCCGTGCCAGGCTGTTTGCATCCTGAAGCCTGCATTCTGAATGCAATGCCCACATACGGTCTTGCCATTGCAAAGTGTGGCACGAGCGCGGTTGGGCGATGCTTCGGCTGCAGGACTTCCAAAGGAAGAAGGATGTGTCGACAGGAAGTAAAGTGGCGGAATCGGTATGGCAGAATTCTGAGGGACGGGCGATGGCCCGTGAGATTGTGTACTGGGGCTCATTGTCAGCGATCGATTGGTCGACATTTCTAATGGGAGCGTACTTTTTCAATGACTTCTTTGAAACAGACAATTGTATGACGACCTCATAAGAATCGACTGTGCGGTGACTTCCACAGCGACCCGACATTTGTTTCTCCCTTGAGGGCTGAGGAGGTCAGTTCCAGCCGCACTATCTGGGCAATCTTACCGACGTTAACGTTCCAAAGTACGTTCCCAAACGCACTAGCTGATTCGTTGAGTCCCATCCATGTTTCACTTTGAATTCGAATGCTCTTCAGTCCTAAATGATTGCTTGACCAAATAACGCCAATCACCCTTTGAGGCCCAATTCTCGATGCTGTGCTCAATCCCAGTGCACCTCGTTCTGCCTGACACTGCTGGTCCACCGCTCCGCTGTCTGCCAACATGCTGTGGGCTGCCCCAAGCTTCCATACGGATGTATTTCATCCGCAATTGGCCAATTCCGTTCACTGAATTTGCCTAAATAGGCGAATCATCATCACCATTTTTGCAGAACAAGGCAATGAGTTAACCGTTAGCTTCCTATTTTGCTCGAGCAAAGCAGAGTCTGTGATCAATCATCGAAATCTAATGTTAAGCACAAACAAAATCTGTGAGCATATTAATTCCTAACGCCTACAGCCGATTGTCGATGATAAGACATCAAGAGAAGTGTCCTCGCCAGTCGGCGAGCAGGAACCGAAGCAAAAAGTGCCGAATAGAGAGGCGAATCACATGCGGGGACGAGTAAAGCGATGAAAGTGAATATATAATTAACTATCCCGTTAATGAGTTTCTGCCAAGGACGACGTTGGGTGGGTGCGTATCGGCCAGTTCGGGCCGTTGCGCCTCTTGGACAGTTTGGGGCCATCCATTGGCCGGTTTCTGTCACCCCTGTACTCGGGGTCAGTTCTGCCCGGCGGATCCAAGGGCAGTTGGGTTGAACCTTGTACCTTGGGCGCAGCCAAGGGGACCGGTCAAGCTGGCCCTTGGGTTTGGCGGGGAGTTTGGCGGCAAGTGGGAGCGGCTATTTTAGGCGCGACCCTTGGCGCCCCCCTTTATCTTGTTTCCGCCGGGCCGGGCTCCTTGTCCCACCCAGGTCCACACACACACTGGACCAATACATTACACGACATTGTTTGTCCCAATACAACCCGAGGTACCCACAACTTAGTGTGCCCAATCGCTTCGCTAGTAGTTAAGCCAGTCCCATACCAGACTCAACCCTTGAGTCAGACCCACCACTCCTCATTTCCACGTCCTTAACTCCCACACTTGCCCAAATCAACCGAACATCACCCTAATAGGGGGGGCCGGGCGGGAAGCGAAACAAGATAAGGTGGGGACCGAGGGGTGAGCCTAAGTAGCCTCCCCACTCGCGCCCGCCAAAGCCCGCCGCTCCCAAGGGCGCCAAAAACCACTGGCCCTCCTTGAACGCGACGGACCAGCCACTGACCCAAGGTACAGGGGGACAGAAACCCCAAGGGGCCGCCAAAACCATTGTACTTTAAGCAGCGCTGTCCCAAGTGGGTCAGCGCGCCCGCCCCTCGTCGCCCTGGGCGGAAACCACTTAACAAGATAGTTAATCCCATTTCCGCCGGGCCGGGCTCCTTGTCCCACCCAGCTCCACACACACACTGGACCAATACATTACACGACATTGTTTGTCCCAATACAACACGAGGTACCCACAACTTAGTGTGCCCAGTCACCCTCAAACACACTGCGCTCCTCCGGAGCAGAAGATGTGGCCATACCTGTCATGCAAGTCCCGGGCGGTAATCGTCATCCACCCGAAAAGGCGATAGTCCCACTCTGATGGGATGCGATACACATCGATGTACCGCCAGAGGGCAGCGCCTCGCCAGTCGCCCCAGTGGCGGATGCGCTGTTCGGGCACCTCCAAGGCGAAGCAGGCCGACGCCCCACCCGCGCGTAGACCATGGTGATCGAAAGCGCCCGGGTGCAGGTCGGGAGAGGAGGCCAAGAGGTCCCGAAACCAGGAGGAAACCGTGCGGGCGGACGGGTCGCGTTCGCCCGGGAGAGTGTAGAAATGCGACGGCGTCCCACCCGCATCCGCCCAGGCACGATCCCGAAAGGCGCCCCAACGCAGAAGTAAATTCACCAGCTCGGGGGCGCCCTGCGAAGGCCAGGAACGGAGGCAGACAGCCGGGTCCGAATCGGGCTTGAGCTTGGTCTTGCGCTCCCGGAAGATCACAACTCCATCCGTCACCCGCACGTCGTCCAACAGAATGAAATGGCCGCTCTGGGCCCGATTAAAGAAAACGAAGTCCAGCAGGGCGGAAACTGACGCCTGCAGTAGGAGGAGGTCGTCGGTGTGTAGGCCCCGCTCCAGAATGCGGAGCATCAAGGTGGCCGGCACCGGAGCATGAGAGGCCGCAGGTTCCGGGCATTGACGACGCCATGACCGGGTGAGCAAACGGGTCACCCGGTCGAAGGCGGAAAACTGCAGATGGCCGGCGACCTGGTGCACCATGGAAATGGCGGCCAGGTACTGCGGGAGGCTGCGGACGCCCACCCGGCCCTCCTCCCGTAGAAACCGGATGTAACGGTAGATCGTGGCCGGGCGGGCGGGGAGGGCCTGGAGCTCCACGGAGGCGCAGAACGCCTGGAACTTGGCGAACTTGGCCTGCATGGACCGCCGCGTTGACTCCGTGTAGAAAGACAAAAACTGCGACTGCATCCATGCGCAGTCCGATTGCAGCATGCCGTCGACGTCCAGCCCGTAGAGGGGGTGATCAGTCGGCATGGCCTCCACCGGGAGCGGATCATCGGGGGGAAGCGCGACCTCCCTGGAGGGTGACCGAGCGCCCGCCCCTAGGGAGGCTTCCGAGGGCGGACATGAAATGCCCGAAGGTTCCACTTCGGCGGAGGAAGGCGGGCCGGAAGAGTCGGATCCCCTGGGCGAAACATCCCCGGATGACGGGGAATCAGAAGGTCCTCCGCCGCAAGAGTCCGGAGTGGCTGAAACCAAAGCGCGCTCGGCCAATCCAGCGCGACGACGACGACGGCCTCCACGGCGGGCCGAGCGGCGAGGAAGGAGACGAGCCGGGGAAGGAGGCACCAAGGGGGGTTGCACCAGTTGGTGTCCCCGTCCAGTCCTGGAGAAAGGCGTCCGTCCCCGCGCTCCCCACGTCCGCGTGCAGGCTGTTGTACCTTGGGCAGAGGGAATTCGCCGCGGAAGCAAAGCGGTCGCACGACCGGCGACCGAAGCGCTGAGTCAGGCGCTTGAAAATGGCCGGGTGCAGTTGGTAGTCGTCCGCCACCCGAACCCGGGACAGCCTGTCCGGTATGACGTTGTCCTCCGACCGAATATAGTTCGGGTCGAGCAGGAGGTGGCGCGCCGTACAGACTCGGTGCAGCTGACGAAGGGGGGTGAGGAGCTGCTTGGAACGGGTAGTCATGCTGCGCATGCAGTACATGACCACCTGGTTGTCGACCAACAGCTTGAGTCTCGAAGGAAGGCCATGGGAAGCAGCCGGAAAAAAGCTGAGAATGGCTCGCTCCACTGCCTGCATCTCACGCACATTGATGTGCGTTAAGGAACGGTCCCAAAACCCCCTCGCGAGGAGGGGGCGAGACCTCGTGGGGGAAGCAAAGGTGGCCCCCCAACCGGTCAGGCTGGCGTCCGTTGCCAGAGTACCGGCGAAGGGGATGGCGTCGGGGTTGAGTGGACGGCCTTCACAGCGGCGGATGTTGACCCACGCCTCCAAGTCCAGCCGGGCTTGGGGGGAGAGGATCAGGCGATCCCGCCAACTGCGCTTGGAACGAAGAACCGCGTAGAGGCTTTGCAAGAAAAATCGTGCCAAAGGAAAGGCCAAATAAAGGGAAATGGCGAGGCCGCAAAAACGTGCCAAATCCCTTGCCACAACCCAGCGGCTGGATCGCAAAATGCGGGCCTGATTGGCGATCAACGCGGCCTTGTCCGGAGGAACCTCAAAACGGCCATGGGCCGTGTCCACAATCACCCCCAAATGCTTCTTGCGCATGGTGGGGGTCCATTGTCACTTCCGCTCCTTGAATTGGAGGCCCAGGGAGGCAAACACACCCCGAACCAATTTCGACCATCGAGTCAAACGGGCGGCATCATGCATGGCCGCCAAAAAATCATCGAGATAAGCCAACAAAATGGCTGGCGGTTCCCTAGTATACACGTGAAAGTATGTAGCTATTGAGTCATCCCCGGCTAGGCACCCAAAACGGAAATGGCGAGCAGCCTTGGGGCAACTGCCCGGGGACCTCAAGAAACGACCCACAACAAGCATCAAATGGGTGAAAAAGAAAGGAGCCAACGAAAGGCCAAAAGGGAGAGCTCGACAAGCGAAAACTTCATCTCCCATCCGAAATTGGAGGAAACATTCCTCCGATCGATACACGCGAAGATGATGATAAGCATCTTTGATGTCGAATCCCACCAATGAGTCATTTCGGCGAAGTAAGTGGCCGAAGTCACGTAATTTCTCGTAACGAAGGCCCACCTTGCGAAGGTGACGGTTGACCCGTCGCAGATCGATGCAAAGGCGGTACTTCATGACCCCATCTTCCCACCCCTTCTCCACCAGGAAGGCCCGAGATATGCGCGAGTTGGGGCCCGGCTCCACTTTGGTGATCGCGCCCGAAGAGAGGTAGTCCGCTCGAAGGGATTGCCAGGCCGCCCGTTCCGCCGAGGAGCGGAGCGGGTAGGAGCCCTCGTCGAAGGGAGCCGGCGGTCCACGCAGTCCCCACAGAAGCGGAGTCCCGGAATGGATCCATTGGAGGATGCGGGAGGGGGCGCCGATGCGACGCCACGCCGAAAGGCGTCCGCGGACCCGGTTGTATGGGAAATGCTTCATGGAGCCGGCTTGGGAGAGGGGCCCGGAGGGCGAGATCCCTTGTGGGCCTTGGGGCCGGTCGAGGGGGCCGAGGTCGACGGGGGGGAAGTAGACTTCTTGGCGGCTGCGGTCTTGGTGGCGTGCTTCAATTCTTGCGTCAGAAGCTCCTTGCGCATGCGCTCGATGGTCCCGTCGACGCGAGCGGTGCCGAAGCGCAGACCGCGGTCGGCAAGGCGGATCTCCGCCTGAATGGCCCACCACGATCCCTCCAGGCCCGAGCCCTTGTGCTTGGCGTGGATGCGCTGCAAGGAGAGCTGGTCGTGGAGAGCTTCGGTGACCTCCACGTACGAGTAAAGGTAGGGGAGGAGGAATTCCCGTACGGACGCCGGGAGATCGGGATGGGCGGCCACCTCCACAAAGGCCGCGGTCGTGTCGAACAGCCAGGAGACCGGAGGAGCCCAACCCGCGTACTCCTGGAAGTACCCGGAGTTGGCGCCCAAAGAGGTGGCGACCGCACTCCCCTCGGCGGTGTCGCGGACGTCGAACCAGTACGGCGAACGGGCGCCCACCGGTCGGGCGACCGGGTTGTTGACGGACTGGGGGAGTAGCGCCGGGTCGGGCAACCAGCAGGCTTCGATAGCGGAGCTCGGAATACGGTTGTTGAACCGGCGAGCTTGTTCCCGGCACCACTGCTCCGCAGGGGACGGGTTCATAGGCAAGAACTCGGCAAAGAGCCGGAGGTCGAGACCCACTCAGTGGGTCCGGGTTGTGCCAAAGAGTTGGCGCGAAGCGAAACAAGATAAGGTGGGGACCGAGGGGTGAGCCTAAGTCGCCTCCCCGCTCGCGCCCGCCAAAGCCCGCCGCTCCCAAGGGCGCCAAAAACCACTGGCCCTCCTTGAACGCGACGGACCAGCCACTGACCCAAGGTACAGGGGGACAGAAACCCCAAGGGGCCGCCAAAACCATTGTACTTTAAGCAGCGCTGGCCCAAGTGGGCCAGCGCGCCCGCCCCTCGTCGCCCTGGGCGGAAACCACTTAACAAGATAGTTAATCCCATTGATGCTCCGATTCACCTTTTCCATCACATAGCCGCATGTCAATGTGAAGCCGCGTGCAGTTTGATCCCACACACACCAATCACCTCATCCGGAATGGAAGGTGCACCGCCTATTTTTGCACAACGCAGCGATGTACTGGTGGATCAAATTGCTGCACATCATGCATCTGAATCACGCCCAAGTCGTCCCGGACACATGTGGACTAAGGGGCACTGGTACTCGTTTCGTTCGCAACATCAACTCAAAACTTGTGTTGCTTGTTTGGCTCATCAATGTACGAAGCAGAGCAAGTGCATAGAAGCCTGGCCCTTCCAATGCATTTGTACCCAGGATGTCCTAGGACATCAAGCCCATCAGTGCAATGCACAGGCATATCGCCATATGCCGGCGTGCCTGTTGGTGCGCGATTGAGGCACCAATTGCATCCGGTCTGTCAGCATTAAGTCAGATGAAAACTCCTGAACCAAGACAACCAATCTCAAACACCGCTCTGCGCTCGTCGTTGCACGTCAGGGGTTAGCACACTTTATGGAAAGTGAGTCATAATTGTGGTGCTGTGTCAATGCACAATACGTTCAAAGTGCGCGGTTCGTTCGCGACCACTGCGGCATTGTCGCCTGTTCTCCGCATTCATCTCGACTCGTTGAAAGAATCGACAATCCATCCATCAATCAATGGAATCAAGCAACATTCATGCGCGCCAAGGCAAGCAAGTAGCCTTCAGATCCCTCTTTCCTGGGAAGAAACAGTGTCGATGATTTGTTCTGTTGAACCCACGTGTTACACGAAGAGAAAACTATCCACACCATATTGACTGCTTTGAATAGATCGCGGGTTAAGTGGCTGTCGTCTTCACCGTAAATTCGTTGGGGTGAAAATTAGGAACCCAATCTATGTAGTGGAAATCGATCTACAACTCTGTACAATCGCCACTGGCAGAATCTCCCCACAAGGACCCAGGCTGGCCGTTAAAAAGTTCCGTTCTCAGCGAACACAACTTACCAGCTATCACACCAGTCCGCACAGACAACGTTGGCAACACTGCCAATGTTTCCACCTCGGCAATCCGTTTCTTCAGATTGCTATTTTTCGGTATGTAGCGTGCGTTGAGCCTCTCATTTAATGCCTGCGGAATGTTTCGCAGGCATTAAATGGCAGGCGCGATGAGCCTGATTGCGCCTATTGGCTTGGAATTTGCGGCATCTACGCTGAACACATTTTGTTCTGCGACTGTGGTCGCTCGCTGGCGTGCGCTAATTCATGTGCGCACCGAATCCCGACCATTGCAGGGCGTACAGAGGCTGTGGGCCTCTCTGCCCCTGTCGTGCGCGCCCAGCGCGTAAAGAATATGCTCGCGTAAGGGACATAAGCCTCTGATATACCAGCGCTGGCTCGCACCAGTGGCTGGGAGCCGCCTTTATCTTGTCCAGTTCAAGTTCAGTGCCCCGTCGCACATTCGAGCAATACCATGCTGCCCCGCTTGGTCCAACACCTTAGTGCAAGCTTAGAATTGTTGGAGTTCGGATCGTGTTTCCCAAGATTTAGCAGCGGGGCTCGTGCCTGCAGAAGTTTCCAGCCAATAAACTTGCCTGTGCCCACACTGGCGCTGATCTAAAATTGCCAGCTCTTGATGCGACAACAATGGGGCGTTTCCATTCATACAAACTTCTCACCAGTGCAGCGACTCTTGTGCGACCATACCCAGACGACGCTGTCATCCGCACGAGCGCCTTCAGTCTTGGCGCAGGCCAACTGCCCTAGCGGCAGTTTTGAGGCACTGATCGGCATTATACGATACTATACGGCATTATACTGATACGCCAGCAGTACTCCTCCAACTTCTCTTGCTGCTTTGCTGCTGCTGTGCTTTCTGCAGATTGGCTTGTTCCAGCAGCTAATCGCCGCAAAAGTCATTGCCAGAATGTTTTCGCGCACTATGTTCGATGAGGTGCATAGGTTGGAGCCACGGTGTCCATCGCGTTGAACGTGCAAGCGTATTCACGTTGTGCGTTACTGTTTCTGTTTATGGGCTCGGGTAATCTGCAAACGACTTGCGCAACGGCGCGTACGGATCTCAGTCGCCTGGCACAGAGATGGGCCATCAGCCCGACGGCGCCATAAACCTAAGCAGTGTGATCACTGCGCTATCTTGCGGGACCATTTGCGATATGTATTGTTACGGCTAGAACTGATTGAGTGTTACTAATAACTGGATGCATGAAAAGATGACGAAGCACTAGGAATTGCATTAAAGATGTTGATGAACAGATTGAGTATAATGGACGGAATGTCTCTTGTCCTTTGCCCTCGGCTGTAAGCCGTTGCCGTGGACTCGAGCGTACAATCCCCATTCAGGGATCGCCACCCCTCGACCCTGCCTGCCTTCGTCAATATCATAGATAATTACTGCGAGCATCGTAAATCCGGAGCAATGGTGCGCAGCACGTGGTTGTTCCTTCGTCGCTAATTCAGGGGAAGCACTGAACTGAAAATTTACCGCTCGACTTGGCGCTCGAAAACAATGAATTCCTGGTAAATTCGCCGCGCTGTCATATGGTCTCTTCGTCAGCTGGAAGGCAGCTTCCCCGTAGAGTGCAAAACGTCATCCTCCTGGGCCTGCACAATCAGGAATCACCACGTTCGCGGTGCCCGCTGCGACGCCATTTCGACTCAAAGTGGCGCGATCACAGCGATTGCGATGACGCAAGAGCAGGTGCGATGACATCAGTCAGTGTAAAATGCCATCGCGGTTGGCAAGGCGCGAACGCCGTTTTGTACTGGTGCTGACGGCGCCCGCCCCGCAGGGAGCTCATCGACACCTCCTTCCGCAAGCTGCGCTCCGCAGAGGCGGCCTTTGAGCTGCTGCAGAGTTTCAAGTCCATCAAGTCCAAGGGCGCCATCCAGCGCCAGATGATGAGCAAGCTCAATGACATCCTGCACCAGTTCTCCAAGGAGATGGACATCGCCGTGGCCATCTTCGAGGCCCACAGGGCGGAACCGCCCCTCACTCGAAACCAGCCGCCCGTTGCGGGAGCCATCAAATGGAGCCGGTCGCTGTTCGCGCGGGTCAAGCACACCATGAACAAGCTGCTGAGCATGGAGGTGGACATACGGGGGGAGGAGGCCGGGCGGGACGTGCACGAGAAGTACATGGGCCTGGCGCGCATGGTCATGGTGTTCGAGAGGGGCAAGTTCAAGGACTGGGCGGAGAGCGCGGACAGCATCGCCATGCACCACCTAAAGCAGCCCATGCTGAGGCGGGACGGGGAGGCGGGTGGGCGGGGAGGGCGATGCGCTCTTTGCTTTGGCGTATTTGGTTTGCAGTACTTAGGTTTCAGTATTTCCAGCACTGTCGTATTTCACTTTTGAGCATTGGCTTTGTTTGTTGTTTATAGATCTGAAAGCATCATCTGTGTTATATTGCTGGAAACGGCTCGGACCAGTAAGGATTCCATTTTGGTCCTTAGACCCCAAAGCAATTGTACTGATTCACATGCGTAATGTAGCCCTTGCCGCGACAACTCAGGATTCAATTCTCTGAAACACAAATTGTGACTAACGATAAATTTTCGTAACTCAATACCCAACGCTCACTATAAAATGGCACCTTGCGCATTTGCCATCGCTGGTACTGCTTAATTGTTGCAGTGGCAGCACATCTGCACGCAAGAATGATGGGGTGATCATTGTTCTAAATGATAGGAAGGGTGAAATGCCGAACGAAATGGAATACAATGCGCATCTGAATAATAACCCCAAAAAGCAGCTAAGTAAATGGATAAATAAACAAAAGTATGTGCACAAATAAATCAGTAAATCAACAGAAGATTGCGAGAGCTGATATCCAGGTGGCCCAGATCTACCACTGATTCAGTTTTGGCTCCCCACTCGTGCGTAACTGATTTATTGCTGATCCGTCACCAATTCCCTACCGAACATGTTGTTCAACGTACTGGCCGCCACGCGGTTGTTCAAAAGAGCAACTCGGTGCAAGAAACGCCACTCTGAAACCCCGTAAAACATTCAACTGTTTCGCATCAAAAAATTTTGCCGTTACGCTTTTTGCTCTGCATTTCGTTTCTCAGAGCATTATATTTTAATGTCCCTCCGCAAGAAAGGCCAAGCGCCGCGTTACCATTTCTTCATTTTCTCCGCCACACAAGGCCAAGCATTATGTTATTATGCGGGAGGGTTGAATAGTTTATGGTACCTGCAAAATTGGTGGGCAGGTCTGAATGTAAGCAGCCCACGCTCAAGCTTTGGGCGTCGGATGCAAGAAATCCGAGAGAATGCTGTCCGAGAACAGGTATTGGATTTAAGTGCTTTTAAGCTTTATGACTGCTGACGTCTCAGGGAGGATATCCGTCAACTTCCACAACAACCTCACTCAGTTGATGCGCGAGACGCGTTATTTGGACAGAATGGGCTTTGCCATTCCAGAGGTCGCCCTCAATGTAGCGCTACAGGAGGACAAGTATCATCAGTGTGTGGAGGCGCTCGAAATCATGCTTGAGCACTACTACCAGGTAACAGTGTACAATATACTGATTTAGCATATATTGCTAAGTAAAAATGACAAAAGGGGGTCCTCTGTAAGATGTCTTTACAAAAGGAGGTCTTCTGACAGGCTCCTATTCATTAGACGCGTTGCTAATCCGGTGCCAGACCGGCGCCGGTTAGCACGCCATTTCTACTAGGGCCGACCCCGTAGAGGGCTCCTTTTTGTCAAATGCACCCCCGCAGAGAACCCCCTTTTGTCAATTTCCCTCTTGGGGGTGTTGTAGGGGGTTTGCGTGGTTTTCGCCATGCCATTTGAATGGAACTCACCCATTTTTGATGTATCAATTAAATGGAATTTGTCTCCATAGAAATACATGAATCATTATGAGCAATGACGTGGTTGTGATCCCGCTTCAAAAGTCATTGAAAAATGAATTTTGGGGCAAAATCTGAAGAAATGGCATGTGAGCCTAAGAGTTTCATTCTTTCAAAATCGTTAGCTTGTCATGGCGTTTGGTTCAATGTGGGCATTTCATAAACATGCATGCTCACCTGCGTGGCACAAAGGAGTGAGTGTTGCATGAGCTTCTGGACCTTTACTCAAGAAATAAAGTGAACGTGCATTGGATCTGTCAGAAAGACTGTCCAAAGCCATCCACAGATCCCGCATGGCTGTCTCACGCAGGTCCGATCACACTCACAATCACACTATTTGCCTACACATCTGTGCTTTCTTTGCTACGAGCGCACTTGCAATCGCCGAGAGAGGTTCTGCCATGGCGAGAGGACTCCAAGCCATCCGACCAATCACCAAACCACTCATGGCCTTTACCGTTTACCTAAAGCCTTTACTCCTTGCTTTGCTTTGCTTTGCCGTGGCTGCGCTCGCCATTGCTGCGTGCTCTCTCCCGCAGTTCCAATTTCTGTGACTCCCTCTCGGAGCTCCGATCGCCATTTGATCTCCTAGGTAGCTCCGATCCCCGTTGCTCTCACCGCAGCTCCGATCGTCCCTTGCTCCCCCCGCAGCCCCGATCGCCGCGACTCTCCTTCACACCCCGGTATCCGGCGCCCTCCCAGAGAGGTCGCCCCTAACATGACCATGGTCCGGTCTGCGCTGGTCTGGTGCAGGTCTGGCGCCTATCTGGCAACGCCTCTAATGTACAAGGGAGGTCAGAGGACACCCTTTTGTCAAAATATCTCACAGAGGACCCCCTTTTGTGATTTCCCTATTGCTAATATGCATCATGATTGAGCGCTGCCGCCGGGTAACGGTACCAAAATCTACTGCTTGAAGCTGCATCCATGACTTGTGGCAGGAAAGGCCTGCAGATATTTTACAATTTTGCAACTTCTCGACTCTGCAGACGAAGGCGCAGCTGCGTACTGTAAAAATATGCCGATACGCCCCTCTGCAGCTCAGCTCTAAATCCCCTCACAATTTGGGCGCAACAAAAGCAACGCAAATTATTAAGCCTTGTCCCCATCTTGCCCCAAACCGTGCTTCAAACTAAGCACAAATCAAAATATGAGCAACGCCATTTTCTAATCATTCTTAACATTCTTGCAGCGATTAATTTAGTTTGGAAATATGTTGGCGTCTCTTTGCGGCCAGGTGCTGAGCATGCTGACTCCCGTGGAGCGCAGCCTGATGAGTCAGAAGCTGCGCCAGCTGGAGCTCGTCCTGGGCCCCGGCTTCTCCCCCCTCAACTGGAACTCCCTGGGCATCTCCGACTTCGTGGCCTCCTGCAACAAAAAGATCAACGAATTCCAGTCGCTGGTGAACCAGGTGCAGAAGAATTCGTCCATCATCGAGAAGGTGGTAACGGGTATCGCGAACGCGAAAATCGTGACGGAGCCGCCCGAGGATGACGAGGTGATGGACCTGCAGGAGTTCTACGAGCACATTGAGAAGCACAGGATCCAGGTGGCGGACCACCTGGTCAAGAAATATCGGACGATATCCCCATTGCTTGGGAAGGTCAGCCGCTTATTCGCGATTTGATGCGCAATTGTCATTGCTGCAGCTGCCATTGGTCGCTGTTGCTACTTGTTGCAATTTCTTTTTCCGATTTGGTTATTTAAAGAGATTAATGAACAGGGAATGAGAAGGAATGCATGCTTTTTTCCCGGGGAATGGGAAAGCATCACTCTGACCATGACGTCGTCTCCGCTTAATTCAGTGATCAGATTTACGGAGATTCTGACTGCGTTGTTTTGCTGCTGGTCTGCAAATGCCTCGTAATCCTTGCCAAAATAGTTTATCCCCATGTGATAATGCACGAATAGAAAATTCACCAGACGGGTATACCGCTTTCCTGACAACTCTGATACACAAAATCAGAATATAGGCCCATATCTTGGTTGACGTGCACGATACGTCCCCAGCCTCATTCATGCTGCATCGTTTACGCGCGACCTTCAGCTGCATTCGGTGACGCAAATGCAGACCAAAATTGCGATAAGTCTGCAACTGAGCGAGAGCGAATCTACATCGTACCTTCCTCCACACCCCTGGAGGTGCTTGCACATTCTGTTGTGAGAAAGTAGTGTGGGACTTGCCAGTTTATAGTGCTTGGCTACACCAATGTTTTACGTGAATTTCTGTTGTGTGCACATTGCATACCTCAAGGCGCACACTAGCATGCATCACATCGGCGTCCGTGCCACGGTGTGCTCAGGTCGAGGAGGCTGTGTGCGGGACCAACACGGGAAAGTCGGCCCTCATGGCCTCATACTACGACCACTGGGAGGGGCTCATCTTCCAGGCACTCAATTCCGTCGTCTTGTCTTCCATGACGGGGTTCCTGAACCTCGTAAACAAACGCAAGGGGAAGAAGCCGCGGTGCGAAGGTGGGAAGCCCAAGGCGCCGCTCTTCAAGGTGGGATAGCCGAATTGGGCTTTCAATGCCCCCGCAGAGTCGCACAGACGTCGCTGCTAGAAATGGCACCAACGCGCAATTAGAAGAACGTGCTTCTATCCATATTTGTGAATGATATCTACGTTGAAAATTCGCTGAAGATTGCAGTTGTAAGAGAATTGAGCGTACTAATTATGTTGTTGATTTGCTTAAGCATGACACAATTGCTATGGTAAGTTTACCAATTTGTAGCAATTTTAGTATTGCAATGACGACGCACAGGGACCCGTGTTTTGCATCTGCGTTTTGAATGGGATTTCCCACACCATCCATTTCTTATGCCTGCAAGGCCCCACGTTGGGAAAAAAATCTCATATCGTGGATATGGAATAGGATGTGGGGAGGCCTCATATCCTGGATATCAAATACGATATGGGTGCCATATCCTAGATACACATATCCAGGATATGGCCATATCCTGGATATAGACGCTCCGTAACCAGAATATGAAGCCCATATCCAGGCACTGATTGGAATTAAGTCCGACGTCGCCTACAAGGTTCCAGGGTTGTGCTTGGTCAAGTTTGCTTGTCAAATGCAGCACAAGGATTTGAGCGACGGAAAACTCGTTTTGAGGGTTTGCGCCGCCCGAAGGTGTCGATGTCCCTGCGGAACCCGGAGGTCGTGGTGCAGCCGCCGATCAGCGAGGTGAACAAGCTCCTTGGGCGGCTGGTCAAGAACCTGGTGGAGACGACCAAGCCGTTCCTCCGGTGGATGAGGGGCACCTGCACGGAGGCGCCCCCGCAGCAGACGCGAGACGACGAGGAGCCCTACGTGTTCACCTTCTACTGGGACGTCGCCGCCAACCCGCAGGTATGATGGTGATGATGATGATGAAATTTCATCAACTGCGTGTCAGCTACCCATGGCCATGCCGCCACCCAACTGCACAGGCATAGTATGTTTATTGCTTCTCCTAGCGCTCGCCTCACTCATATGCCGACCATCCGCCTCTACATTGGGGCATACAAATCACCCAAAATAGAACCCGCTCCTCTGCATCTCGCCCACAAACCGCAGGCATCGCGGGGGACAGATGCGCCCATCTGGCGAGATGCTCCATTGACACCTTTTGCGCTTGGGTTATCGGCATGAGGCTCCAAAAGGCGTCAGCTGAACGGTGGTTTGTGAGAGGCGTCGAAATCCGAGGAGCTTGGCGCTCCGGGGGGATGTGCCAACTTGAGTTGCGTCTTTTGTTTGCATGTCGTCTCCGCTTCTTTCGTTGTTGCTGCTGTTTATGCTGCACAAAGCGTGCACTGTAGAATTCACTATGCATCCGCCCCGCGACAGCAGAACAGCTGAATCTTTGAAATCCATGTACTTTGTGGGGCTGATGTGGTCAACGCAGACCATGCAAGCAGAAAGTAAG